CAGCTCGCGAAATTGCAACAAGTATGTTTCCTATACCATTATTGTTACAAAACAACAGGGAGACACCACGTAACCGAAAGTAAACGAGATATAAAGGTATAATGCATTTATTGATTCACACATTGCTACACATCATATACAATATGAAGCAATTAAACATTCATAACAAATACAATATATAAAATATTTAATCATATATTAGTTAAGTTTACTACAATTCTGTTGAGTTTCGAGGCGCACTCATTAAATCAGGAATACTGCTGATCTACTGGGATGACTATCGTCTGCCAGTGTCTTACCAAGATAAAAAAAAATCAAGGTTACAATCACTTTACGAAACAAAGATGGCTTGACAAAAAGTTTACACAATTCCACAGATTCAGTCGTATTAAATGAAGAATTCTTATAAGAATACTAAGTATGGGTTTTACAAAAATTCTCGTCAATGTAAATGAACCGCCCGAAAAGGGCTATACTCTAATATTTTGAGTTTACCATTAAATAAAACTGCTTTACTGCACAAATATTGTTACATAGTCATATGTTGGCGTGTTATCTTCAGGGAATCGCGTATTTCTTCAATTGCTTTTTTTCTCTCATTTCTATCTTCGTAATCAGTTGCATCTTCCTTTGCAGTGAGGGCTCTAACTATAATTTTTTCAGCTTCACCATACTTTTGTAAATTATGAAATGCTGCTCCGGCGTTGGTAAGCAGTGTACCATAGACATTGTAACTGGAAGCCCGCTTGCCAAAATGTTTTTCCAGGTTATCAATACCATTGTTCAAAATTTTCAAAGTTTTTCGATATTCATCTACTTGGGCATAATTATATCCTATATAATTGGAACACCATGCCATTTTCAAAGCCTTTTCATCTAAATCGACTTCTTTCAATGTACGAAGACTATCCAGCATTTCCATCATGTATTCCACACCAAAATCAATTGCAATTATTCTGCTTCGGGCACTTTTCCTCTGCCACTTTTTTGGATGTGATGCACGAGATATATCGCCAGTATTCAGTAAATGTTGAAGACTCTTGAAGAGGCCGGCTGAATCTTGGGTGCCCTTCGGTTCCTTATCAAAATTCAACATTTCTCAAACTGGATTTTGCATTTTTTGCATACAACGAAAAATACCATCCATTGCTTCAGCGGGAGAAGCAGAAGAATGTATATACATATCACTAGCAATCCTAAACAATATCAATGCACGTACAGTACAAGAATCCTCTATAAAGTGATCAGCTAACTCAATAACATCGTTTACATCGCACATAGGCTTAGAAAATATTATTTCCCTAACGTGATTAATTAATCTATCTGCCTTATTTTCTCTTCCAAGTTGTAAGTAACAATCTATCATAAGAAGTTCGATTCCAATATCACTCTTTTCCACAGGATCAAGCTCTTCCAGTTCCGTGATAGCTTCATAAAATTTTCCTTGTGATGCCAAAGATCTCCCTCTTTCTGGAATATGAAGGTGAATTGAATCAGAAAAATCTGGTTTTTTAAAAGTTAGATACATTCTCGCCTTCTCGGTATTCAAAAAATGGTTAAAATATTGCGTGAACGGTAAAATTTAGCAAACGGCTGAAGGAGCGAGATTCCTGTTATGCTTGCTACATGGCTATGTTGCCATGACAACTTAAAGATCTAATAATAATCGTCAGTAGGCTATGAAAAAGAGCCACAAAACTCTTTCAATCAAGTTCTAGTTATAACGATTTTGTGAAAAAGTTGGCATTCCTCATGTTCGTATGTATCGCTTTTATATCATTTAAACTGTAAGTGCCTGATTTGAATTTAATTCCCGTTACTACTGGCACTATACGTACCTTCTAAAAGAATATCATTCTTTCTATTGGATTTCCAAACTAGGCTATTTTTTGCCATAGATTATGAGGACGTCGATGTTGTATTCCAACTTTTTCAAATACAGAAATATGTAAAATATGTGGTCTTCTTCAATAGTGGAAGTTGCGGACAAGATAATTGATGCTTTGGCCACTGGAGTTGAAAAAATATTTTCTTTTTATTCTGACTTTAGATTAAGCAGGACTATGCTGTCACCGGACATAACATAAACATGACTGTACCCTATTTTCCTAATCAACACAAACAAATGACCGAAAGACACACTATTTCAGTCCTACCACACTCCATGTGGACACTCTTAGCATTCACTACACCAGAAAGACAATTATGACCCAGACGATAGCTTTTGAAGTACTCAAAATTTCGTAAATATCATGGGGGCGCCATGCCACTACGTTATGAAATTCGTCTGTTCATTTGGATGTCTGCCGGTATTACTTAGTATTACTACCCATAATATACTTTATCAAATTTTTATTCGTTATTAATATTACACCTCAGGACCAACACTTACCTATCACACCTCTCTTACAGGTTATCCACTTTAAATTCTTTAGGCGTTCGAAAGAATTAACTATAGTAGGTTCTGGAACTGTAGTAAGTAAATGCGCGCCTCACCTTTACCAGAATAGTCTATTGTATAATAAAAGCGATCCTTGTTGTGTGTTTTGTTCATTCAAGCGTGTGGCAACAGGGGCGCTTATTGTTGTAATTGCCAACTTGAGAAAAAATATCTTATGGCCTCGAAACAATCAACAAGGATAGTGTTTGACAAAACTCCAAATATTCATGACTTTTTTCAAAATATTCAATATATTTTTATATCCAATAAACCGTAAGTTCGTCAGCTTCACGCTAAAATGATCCTAGCCTGTCACCCCTTTGTATATCATTTACCGAGTCTGACTACACAAAGGCTCGAATTATAATGGACGGAGGAGCATTGTTAAGCAATGTTGCGTTGCGATTTTTAGTAACAGAAGTACAGAGTGAGTATAGCGTATAGGCCAGCGAGAAAGCAAACACTGTAAAAAGTGAAGCTGTTTCAGTGTTTTACTTTCACATTTAGTTCTTATTAGTTGTCGGTATTCAGTATATATATTGCGGCGTTTTAGGTTCAATTATATTGAGTCATAATGTGTGATACGAATTATTTTGGAAAGGTCAATTTATTTCACATAACTTTTATCCGTAACTGTTGTTGCCCCTGAATATTCTTCTACAGATGAACTTCGCAGCCGTTCTAATTTTTTCGCTATATCAAAAAAAAAATTTCAACCAAGTTACAGGATATTTGTAGAAACAAAAATTCTGTAGGCTCATATTTATTGCCTCTTTGGATTCCTTATTGTATACGGAACTTGGTAAACGTTTTGGTTCATCTTTTGGTTTCATTAGTAACAAGTGTCGAAACTAACAAACAAACATAAATCTCTGAGCATATATATTTAGAAAATCACGATTGGGTATATCTATATATAGTAATGAATGAGCTAGGCTTATTTCAGTCTTTGGTCAAATCAATATATATTTGCTTAGTTTAAGCTTACGTTGTTGTTCACATTCTTTAAAAGCAAAAATTCTTGAACTATTGAACAAAGAAGAAATGTATTCAATGTGATATTTCTCTGAGGATATATTGAGAAACCGTAGCATAATATGGGAACAAATAACTCAATACGTTTGTTCAATTGACAAGTTTTTCCATCGAATTGTATTTTTCAAATTAGTTAGTAACGGTTCGAATGTACAAGTGATCGGAGCAATCGGCCTGATTGGTGATATTATATTCTAATTCAGGGTAGTCCAAGGTTGTCGGCCTCGCGTGCCACACTTATTACACAATTATTTTTGTATTGTCCGCGGGCCACAATAGGGCCAAGAATAGGTAAACAGTGCAATACAAAACAAACACTTTTATTGTCCAAACACATTGATCATTATTTGTCATTTATCAAACTAAAGCATGCAAAAACCACCAAAAAACCTCACTAAAACGTGCAAAAATTTTACTGTATCTACATTTAGTGTAAGGTTTCAAACTCTTCATGACGGAAAACATGCCCTACGGACAAAGTGCCGTTTTAGATTGTGACCGACACAACTTGCAGACATATTAAGCAAGCATTGTAGTATTTCCCCTCACATATCCATTCGAAAATATGTTTGAATTGTTCAGCCTTTTTTCAACTCATGTTTACAAAATAAGTTACAAATAACCGCAGATTGATTGATTAGTGAATTTTACCAAGTTTGAGATACAGGATGGTGATTACTAACTTCTCTGACATTGGCTATAGACAGTATTTTTTTGAAATACTATTTAGTCTGGTTGCAAAAAAAGCGGCAGGAATTATATTGTTCGGCCCTTACATTAATATTTAGTTGTCAGACATAGCCGACCTAGGCTAATACATTCTTCCTTCTATTTTTTAGTTTTCTGTGGAGCCTATTTTGTTAGCATATATTCTCGACCAAAAAAGATAGAAAGCCTATTAACAATTTAGACTAGCCAAGCACCTTATTGCACATTATTCAATTCCACTAGTTGCCTCAGCTAGACATAACTATAGTCAATTCAGTAACATTAGAGATGTGAAAATATGTCTTAAAGATTTTTCTGGTTATTTTTTATGACGAAACAACACGGAATGCAATTTTTGTTTACCTTTCCGATAATGCGACGCTGGCCACAGATAATAAAGCGGCGGGCCACATGTGGCCCGCGGGCCTGGGTTTGGACCACCCTGTTCTAATTGATAATGAATCGTTTGGCATAAAGAAAGTTGTGTGTAAAATCCCAAATAATATCTGTTTATCTAAGCACAGAGATTTATTCCAATGATTGTGATGAAAAATATCCCAATAAGAATTTTAACTATTCAAGAATGATATGTATTATCGTTTGCCACTTGTTAGGATTTAAGAAATGCTGATAAAAATACAAATATGATAGTACATGCAGTGAACAATATTATCATAGCAATTTTTGAATAATAGGCAAAAATTTGTGCGAAAACACTGCATAATGTTTATAATAATACCAAGATATTTGCCTTGATTACCTCATGATAACGTACATCAGTGAATTATAAGGAAAACAGCTAATTAAAATTATAAGACAACTGATGTGGTTGGTATTATTATAAATCAAACATAATACGGCGAGCAAGATTAGTGTACGTTCGCAAGGTGTTGAGCAAGAGGGAAATCTTTTTCATTGCTTCGAGCAATCGAAAAAATCATCGAAAAATATACAAACATTACGAGGGACGGAGACGCAATGTCAAAAAATGGTAACGAATCTCCAATATTGACACTTCTTTCAATTGCACAAAATGTCCATAAGTCGACGAAAAATCCTGTGGCAAATTCACAGAATGACAGCATCGTTCGTGGCGATATGGCAAAAACTTGTTTACAGGAAGTTCAACACGTTGTTGCTGAGAATTTTCCATATTTTGATCGTAGCGATGCAGCTGTGACCGAATTGATTGCAACATCACAAAAAATGTTGGAAACGTTATTAAAGATCGATGCTGGTGTTTCTAAAATTTTGGAACTACTAATTTTTGTATATAGTACTTTGTCAGAACTTGCATTGAAAGAAAACGTGACAAAAAAATACAGTGTCAAGAAATTTAGAAACATAAAACTGGAAAAGGATCAATTGTTTTTAAATCCCAATAGTCAAAAATTCGAAATGGTAGATTCTATTAGAAACCACAACAATGTCTCAGAAAATAATATAACAAACAATTCTTCGGTAGTCAAGATAGACAACGAATGCATTCAAGAAATCGATGAGCAAGGTAAGTTATAAATAAATATTCACTTTAGGTAGAAGCGGATTTTACTATTTTCACTATAAAATTAATTGGAACAAACAGAAAGAAATGCAAAAAAGCAAAAAGTAGAAGCAGAAGTTATGTATCACTTGCTTTATTTAAAGCTGATATCCACTCAGAAGAAGTCAACTATTGACATGCTACCAGCGACGATACGAAAAAAATAAACAAAAATATCGCTTACAGATCCATGTATATATCATTTGCGTAAATATTACTGAAAAGTTAAACACTTTACTAGTTATTCAATAGCACCTAAGCTTTGAGAAACCCTTTTCGATTGTGATCGAACACACCGTATGTACTGAAAAAAATTAGATATACGGCCATGAAGCATTTAATAACATTCATTGCTTCTTAATTGCCTCGCCATTCCCGCCATTTGTTCACGTAGAATAATGGCATTAAGGGGCCGAAGGCACGATCGAGAAACTATAAAATATTTGAAAAATGTTTCAGACGAATGTCAAAATGAATCAGATGAGATTGATTCTTCGGCCAATAATAAAGAACCAAAGCCTATCCCAGGCAATTGCATCATGCCTATGAACGACGATAAAAACAAAAAAGGGGAAGAGTCGAATGGTGAGTGAACGGATGTCATGTTTTGCAAAATGAACTTGTTAATTTCCAAATTGCCAGGTATGTGAAATATGCACAAACTACATTTACAATATAATCATGTAATTTTGTTAAAAAGTGATGCATCTGTTCACTGTAGCGCATAAATACAAATACCAAAAAAATGTTTCCAGAGTTAGAGAAAAGGTACATTATTACCAAAAAAAAATATTTTTCAATACATATTTACATGTATAACAGATTTGAAGGCAGATATTTTTCAAATATATATGATAGAAATGCCCCTTTGATTGTCCACGCATGAGAATAATCGCGTTGGCGCATATCAGGCCACAAATAAAAATATTGCTATGAATTTATAAATCTGAAATAAGACTTCATTTTAGTAAAAATCAAATTAAATCTGCATGCCATTGTTAGAGCAAGGTCCGCAACTTTTTTCTAATTTCCCACAACATTTCTCATTTGGTAAGCATGTAAATGTAAATAGTTATCGATTTTTCGACTCCTATTGACACTAGTAGTTTTCTTGCCCAAAATTATAAGAAACTTTGCACATAAAATCTCGTTATATGTCTTATGAAACAATTCCATACAGATACTGCTAACCTCGTATTGCTTCGAAAAAAATGCAATTGATCACGTAGTAGGATAATAACGATGCAACAAGTTACGTAATGAATGTTTCCCCGAATTTCGATCTTCGGAAAATTCTTCCTATATACTCTATCAGTGCAAAATTGTTGCTACTTATTCCAAGTGTGGTTTTACGAGTTGGCGCTTATAAACCGGTTTATAAGTTTCAACCCATCATTTTAATTCAAAACATTCAACCATTCATTTAAATTTACCGGTATACCCTAGTCCAGGGTTCACCAACCTTTTCGAAGCCGAGGGCTACTTTCTGGGTACAGATTAAGCCAAGGGCTACCAGTACAATGTACACTTCTAAAAAAGTCAGTTTGCTCGATTAAGCCTAAATTATTAATAATTACTGGTATTTAGTCTAGTAGATCCACTGATAAACTCTAGGATTCTTCAGAAAATCAAACGATTATCACAACGTTGAAATATAGTTCTATCAATGACACTTGCGTTGCATTTAAAAAAAAATGTTTTCAAATTGATTTTAAAGTCATCACTACTAGAATATACTAGGAAACCAAAATGTACCGGGGTTATTTACAAACACTCTGCACTCTACCCTCTGCCTAGGATAAAATGGACTTAACAGTTGTACTATCAAATACTGCAGAGTGTTGTACTGCGGCGCGTTACTTGACACTGGTTGAAGTACATATGAAAAAATGTTGATTCACAAAGATAGGTTGAACGGTTGAACCAAATAATAGTCTCAATATTTACCCAATATTTGTCACCATCAGGGGCAGCCCTGTCATTACGGCCGACCAGCAGCAAAATTTTACCTGCCATTGGTTTTCAATTTGCTGCCGCGGTAACGGCAGCTCTCCATTGGTATGTGGCAGCTAAAAAGTATGTCGCCGTGGGGGTTGGCTTAGCCATATTGGGCCATGGTTCGGAAACACCGCCGTGGTTTTGCGGCAGCTTTAGACGCCACAGAATACTTAAATCTGAACTCGAAAAAACGCGTATTTGTGGAAGTTGATAACTGTGTGATGTCATAATTTGACACAATGCTTATAAATTCATGGCAAAATCAATTGTTATGCGACCAGAGTGGAGGGTTTCACGACCCAAATTTGGGTCGCGAGCCCGTACTTGCGGACCCCTGTTTAAGAGTACAATGAATATATTACTCATAAACGAGACAATTTCGTGGCCCCGGAAGACGTTAACCACACAACTGAAAACGAGTCAAATGGTGAGGGGTTTCTGCCATGGTTGTAATACCTTTTCAGTTTGAAGAATTCGAAAACGGCATTTATGTACCATTGGAATCGGCTCGCTTGCATTAATCTCCATTGTCAAACATAAAGTCAGTCAAATACTGCAATATATAGACAACTTTAGGTGTAAAAATATTGAATGAATATTTTGAAATACTTCTGGATAACTGTATAATACGAGAAGTGCGGATGTATTTTTAGAATATGGATCATCTCAAAATACGTATTACTCTACAATATTATCAAATAATTTTAATCTCCTCATTGGTTTTTGTCTGCAACAGCATTAAAGAAAACTCAAACCAAGTCTCCAATTGCCTATTCGGAGAATAGTACTCAAAACGATTTTATTGGCAGTAATGAAATAAGCGGTAATCAGCATCCAAAACAAAACAACAAGGCAAATGGCAAGTATTTTATAATTATTCCATGTTCGAAAATTAATGTAGAATTTGCTGATCTCGTTATTGAACTTCAAATACTTTTTTGATCCAGAAATTCAAACCGAAATCAAACTTCTAGAAAATAACCTTGCGTTATTGACAATAGAAAATAAAGTAGAAACATACCTTCAGCTGCTCGCGTCCATTAATAACGAATATAAAGAATATAAAAGTTCATCAACTGAAGGTAAGCATTTTGTGTCTTTATTTTCTTGAAAAAATGAGCCGTGACAGTCGTTTTATTTTTAATATAAATGGAATTCACTATAAAATAAGTGAAAAAGTAGTTGCTATTATTTTAGTTATTGTTGCTATCACTATTACAAATTTGCAGGGTAAATCTTTATGGAAGCTCTAAGAAATATTAAAATTCAACAACAACTCGCTGGTGCCATGAACATGACTTCTTCAGATCTTATGAATAGTATGCGATCGTACATAAAATAAATTGGTATATATGAGCATCGCTTAGGAAAACCAGAAATGCTTCCGGTGACTGTAGTGCATTGACACTAAAAGAGAAACAAAAAATATTGCTTACAGATCTATGTATATCATTTTCGCAAATATTACTGGAAAGTTAATACTTCACTAGTTATTCAATAGCACCTAATTAGATAAACCTTGAGAACCATTTTCGATTGTGCACGAACACACCGTATGTACTGAAAATATAAGATATTCGGTGTGTGTTACGGGCGAATAATGTCTTTCAGGAATCATTTAAAAACATACATTGCTTCTTTGCCTCGACATTCCCACTATTTGTCCACGCCAGAGTTAAAATCGAGTTTATATGCGGAATAATCATATCAAGCCGCGGATGGCCTGATCGAGAAACTAAAAAGTATTTGAAAAATATTTCAGACGAATGTCAAAATAAATCGAAAAAGATTGATTCTTCGGCGAATGATAAAGAATCAGAGCTTAAAACACACGAATACTTCGCGCCTTTGCACGACGATAAAAATAAAAAAGAGAAAGAGCCGAATGGTGAGTGAACGAATGTCATGTTTTACAAAATTGGCTGGTTACATATCCAAAATTGCCACGTATATATGTGAAATATGCAAACTACATTTACAAGATGAACCTATAAAAAAATTTGAATATTTTAAAATACTTCTGAATAAGTGTACAATACGAAAAGTGCGGATGAATTTTTAGAATATGAAACATCTCAAAATACGTATTATAGTCTACAACAGGGTTTCCCAAACTGGGGTCCGCGGACCCCCGGGGGGTCCGTGATGGCTGCACAGGAGGTCCGCAACGATATGAAAGAGACCGATCGATATTTAATGATTGATTTCAACCAACGAGCCATTGCATCTTTATGGTTGAGCGTTGCGGACGAATATCCATTGCTGTTAGAAAAGGCAATTAAAAAATTGCCTCTTCCAACGACTTACATGTGTGAGGCAGCTCTTACCAATATGATGACAAAATACAGGTCGAGGCTTGCTGTAGAGTCGGACTTACGAGTTTGCTCGTCAGAAATTGCTCCGAGAAACGATAAATTGTGCAATGAATCCCATTTTCATGTCGTTCGTGTTGTAAATGAAACATTTATGCTTCTTCGTTAGTTAGGCACAGAAATTGATACGGCGTGAAACTAAGATTCACAAATAAGGGTCCGCTGCTCAAAAAGTTTGGGAAACCCTGGTCTACAATATTGTCCAATAATCACTGGTTTTTATCTGCAGCAGAGTTAAAGAAAACACGATTCAAGTCTCCAATTTCCCATTCGGAGAATAGTACCCAAAACGATTTTGTGGGCAGTTATGAAATAAGCGGTAATCAGCATCCCAAAAATAACAACAACATCAAAGCAAATGGCGAGTATAATATAATTATCTCATATTCAAAAATTGGGGCTCCCGAAGTTTGCGAACCAAGATGGCGGACATCGGAACGTAACATAGTTAGGCGATAATTTTTTTCCAATTTTCCTTATTTTAGTCCTATTATCAGTTCGAAGACTAGCCAAGAGCTTCTCGTAGTATTTATACCTGAAATTATGGCCTAACCCTAACCTAGTACACATATTACATTGCGATGTCCGCCATCTTGGTTCGCATACTTCGGGAGCACCCAAAAATAATGTACAATTCCCCTAAATCAAATTTTATTTTACTTTTGTGTCTTTACTATGCAGCTTTATCATAAACCAAAAAAAAACTCGTTATTGAACTTTAAATACCTATTTGACCCAGAAATTCAAGCCTTCATCAAACTTCCAGAAGATAACAAGATAGAAAAAACATGCTCTAAGATTCTTGTGCACGTTGATAACGACCAAGAATATAAAATGCCATCACGTGAAGGTGAGTATTTTGTGTTTTTTCTTGAAAAAATAGGCCGTGACATTCTATTTTTATTATAAAATTGTTTTAGTCTTTGTTACTATCACTATTACAAATTTGCAGAGAAAACCTTCATGGAAGCTCTGAAAAATACTAAAAGCAGTCGACAACAACTTACCGTACTCGCTGGTGCCATAAACGCGACTCCTGATCTTATACGATCGTGCATAAAAGAAATTGGTATATATGAGCATCGTTTAACCGAACCCGATATCAAAGTGTTATCCCAAACTGTTCTTCTGTGCAGCAAACTTGAAGAGTTTGCACTTCGCAGTTGCAAAATGAATCCAAAGCATCTTGAGTTATTGCTTGAACAAACTCGAAATACGAAATGCAAGGTATGATCAGTACCAGTCTTCACATTTACATTGATAAGATATTTTTCCAATATAATAGATTAAATTATTGTGGTACAGGTACAGGAAAATACATCGCGTGAATTCACTCTTAAAATACCACATAATTGTATACACAAAATACAAAAGCTATTTCGCAACTTCGAATCATATAAAGACTGATCCACTTGATTGTATTTTCATGGGGTCACCTAAAATTACTGTAAACTCAACAATGTTTCCACATACTAGTTTTCAGTAATAATATCAAATTTTTTGTTATTTGTTTCTAGATCAAAAAGTTTACTGTGAGCAATATAGATGGAATCGAAAGCCTAGTTTCATCAATTTGCAAATCCATATCTGTGTATAAATCAGAAATACTGTGCATTGAAAACGATGAACTGGAAGACGATGTTGTAAACAAACTTGAAAAATGTCTCGCCGATGAAAAGGTAATTGTTGAGTAGCAAAAATTGAAACATCAATTAAACAGCTAGAATGATCAGGTCCAAAGTTCCTTTTAAAAAAAGGTCGATGTATTATACCAAATGATTCCATCATTGAATATTTTAGAAAATATTATAACACAAATGAAATTATATTGTTTACTTGTCTTAGAATCGACAAAGTAATATCCATACGATTGAAAAAGCATTTCTGATATGTATGTCGATTTTTAAATTACTGTAAATTATTTTCATCCGTTCTCGATAGTTCTTGTTGAGAATTAGATCACCTTGTTTGGGTGACTTTCTGATACTTGAGACAATTAAAAACAATGGATTGAATTGTCAAATGATCATGTTACGAATTTAATTTGTTACTTGATCTCTTTCGTATACTTATCACAAACACCTCGTTCCAAATATTACAAGCGTCTCAATTCTTATTGATTGAGTTATATAATGCCTCAAGACTCATAATATAATATTTCCTATTTTATCTCCGATATTGCGTGGTAAAAGCATTTTTGAATTTGGATAAAGTTTCCGGATTTCAAAACTAAATTTTTCAACCAAATCAGAAAATTATGATTTCCACTTTTTAGTAGAAGTATACTCATACGACAGAGGTCTATATCGATATTGTACTAAATTATCCAAGATTCGATTACTTCAATTTAAAGCAGGGTGGTCCAAGGTTGACGGCCTCGCGGGCCACACCATTATTTTTGTATGGTTCGCGGGCCACAATAGTGCCAAGTATTCGTAAACAGTCAAATACAAAACAAACACTTTATTGTCCAAACACATTAATTATTATTTGTCATTTATTAAGCTAAAACTTGCAAAAACCACCAAAAAAACTCACTGAAACGTTCAAATTTAGTGTAAGATTTCAAACTCTTCATAAAAGAGAAAGTGTCATAAGGAGAAATGCCGTTTGAGATTGTCACCGACACAACTTGCAGATATATCAAGCAAGCGTTGTGGTATTTTTCCTCCCATATCCATATTTTCTGTTTACCCTCCAGAAAATGCGACGCGGGCCACAGATAATGAATCGGCGGGCCACATGTTGCCCGCGGGCCTGGGTTTGGACCACCCTGATTTAAAGCAACACCAACAAGACAATACTTCGCGTAGCGAAGATAAATATCGGTAGGGGTTAAAGTTACCCTGCATTCAACATCACCATTATTTCTCAATCATAATATTGAAAGTTACTTTTAGATCACTCACATGAATGAACTGGATGTTAGTTATAACAAAAACATTAGCAAGGTTGCGTATAACACTATGGGAAAAATCCTCAGAAAGTATGGAAGCAAAACATTCAAAGCTGTTGACTGTGATCTAGATTCTAATAAACTGAAAGAGTTTAGTGAAGGCTTGGGTGCTGCCGAGGTAATTGATGGTAAAATTTGGATAAATGGTAATCAACTAATGTCCAACATGAAATTGCTCAAAGTTTCCATAATGTGCTTGTTTTTTGGAAACGCATTCAGGGCCTAATTCATCAGAATTTTCTCACCCATCGACGATTGAACAAATCACTCGTTTTTGGACAACTTCTGTTCATCCTTAATTTGGCGTGTTTTCTCAGTTGTACATTTGAAGTGTGTATATGATGTGCTTTACTCTTAGGGTATTTGTTACTAAATCATGTCAAGATGATAGACTGTATTCTGCTTTTATTTATTTCAACTTATTTCCACGTATAATAAAAATAAACTAAAACAATTTATCTGAAACACTTATCATTGGAGATTCCAAACATCTGTTTAATAGTTGGACGAACTCGACGTAAGTTGCAACGAAGATTTAAAAGACGAAGCTTTCGAAACTATCGCAGGGCTAGTAGGAACCAACAAAGTTAAACATCTGAAATTGAGCTCATGTGGTTTGACAAAGCGGCGTTTCAATAGCTTTCGCCGATCCAACAGTGACGAAGCCGAGGTAAAACGAAATGAAGAATCATTTGGTATTTTATTTATTTGATAATGTAATCAGTTATTCAATATTTATGAAAATTCGTTCTTGTTGGTCTTGAACTCATGATTTTCAACAAGGAGTATTCACGAATAAAAATATATTTATTCTCCGAGAGAGGTAATTCGATACAGTTGTATTCTTGGTTTTGCAAAAAAGTTTATTAATCAACCAAAAACATTTTACTTTTCACATTGATTCAAGTTACAAATGTCAGTAACAAAATTTTTTTCATGAAGTCGTGATAAACTGTTGTTATATTTATAGTTTCTGCGTAACTAGAATCATATTCTATTATATTTAGCTATTTGAACTCGACGTTAGCTACAATCCGTTCATGAGTAGAAGAACATTCAAAGCACTGGGGAAAACGGTGAAGCAATATCAAGTTGAAAAGCTGAGTTTGGCAGGATGCAAACTAGGCAGAGTGCAAGTCAAATTATTCCGAATCTTCGCCGGAGAGCATCAAGTATGTTATATATAGAATTATTAATAATATTGAATGGTCAAAGGCCTTATTTGTATCTGAAATGTTGTTATTGCACAAAGTTCTTTTAATTTTTATAACAGATGGATGCTATGGATGTACGAGATAATTTTAGGATTGGTGAAGGAATTATTGAAATAGCCAACATTGTTGTTGATTGTAAACTGAAAGATCTTGACATTAGTGAGTGCATGCTGTCGCCATACCAAGTGAGAAGATTCAAAAAAGCGCTTGGATATGGAAAGGTGGGTTTTTCAGTTGTATCAGCATTGCAAACAGGAATGACCGCGCTCAACTCATGTCAAGACTCAGTTGTGCATTTCACTTTTCCGAGACAAAGAAACACAATAAACAACTTCCATACTTCATTGGTAGATATCGATATATGTGCTATAGCTAACTAAAACTCAAATATAAATTTTATTTCGCACAGCTGCGATGTTTGAATCTTAGTGATAAAGAGCGTGTTGCAACTGAATCGCACATAAGAGCAATATGTGAACTTCTCCCAAATATCGATGAAGAACTACATGTGCGCTTCAATAAATTTGATGAATCTTTGAAAAGTATACTGCAGGAGGAACTCAATAATCTTCCAAAGACGGTGGGTGCATATTGTATATCTAAAACATATATAACAATAAGCCACGTATCCAATACTTGTTGTGAAGCAAACAGCGGGTATACGAGCTTCCAAAAAGAATTCGCGACTTGCACCTCGTCGTTTTCTTTTCATGTATATAAACCACCCATGAAAATCGAACTTTAGTAATATACCCAATATCAACATTCGTTTTTATTAAAAAAAATGTGAATCCTGACAATAGATCATATCGCCGGATAAGAACAGAACAGGCCTAAGTCACAATTTTGAGTTTTGAGAAAAACGCAAAAAACAATTTGGAATTTTTTTTATTTTTGAATTTCTAGATATTCACACTTAGTAAAGACCTGAGCTCTGGTTATTTTAATGTGGATGTGAATATCTATGTAATCAATATTTTTTGGCACTTCAGCTTCCATTCCTTCCTGCTTTTTTAACCCCATAATGGACTTTGGTCCATTCTGTTCTCAACAACTTCTGAATTTTTTTGTTTGGGATGCAAGGTAAAACAAGGTGACTTAGGCCTTAGTTGCACTGAAGAAATTTTTAGGGATGTAAGTTTCGGATATTTTATTTCTGATGTTCATGCCCATCATATTGGAACTTGAGACTATCTTTTTTCAGTAATTTGGGGTTTTGAGCCATGCTCTACAAGGTGGTGGTCTTAAAATTCTGAACTTCATAATATTAAAAATTTTAGCTGGACTTAGGTCCATTCTGTTCTTAACTTCTACAGTCGTAAGTCCAGCTAAAAATTTTGTTATTGATAAATTCAGGATTTCAAGATCACCACCTTTTAGAGCATGGCTCAAAACCCCCAAATATTGAAAAAAGTGAATTTTGCAAAAATGTGACTTAGGCCCCTTCTGTTTTCATCCGGCGATATACTATATACTAAGGCTTTCAGTTATTCTGTCGTTAGGTGAGATTTCATCAAAATCATTTTAAACTTTTATTTATTTTTAGGATATGAAAATTATTTTAAACGATGGATGTATGAAGCAACAGAAACAAGACTGAAGTTTTTATCAAGCAACTTCTTGGCTGCAGACTATTGTTTTAACTTTTAGCAATGCAATTTTGTGTTATGTGTATATTTGTAATATGAGTAGTAATATGATTTGCAGGTACTCCCGTAGTATGTGTACCGGGTTGAGTTGGGCCATAATTTTATTCCGCCCATAGGTTTCAGTACCTTTACACATCGTGATGTAAAGTAGACGAACAAAATTAGTTACCCCCATATTGGTACACATACTTCGAGAGCGCCGATTTGCAAGTATAAATAGAAAAGTTTAAAAATGCAAGTGTTGATATTTATTCGTATTTTCTATATTGTGTTTTTTACATATTTATTGATAATATGATTGTTGAGTTTAACAAAAACTGTTTATTTAAAACGTAGAGATATGCATTATTTATTACATAAATTCACCATCTGGTTAATATTTACTTTACTAATATATATCAATAGAATTGTTTTCTTTTCATCATTATAGATTTAGCTACAAACTAGCCTAAAACTCACTTACAATAAATAGTATACACATTGAAAGAAATCCTAACCAACGCAAATGCCACATTAAGAGAGGGCCCACATCAAAATGTAACCAAGTAATAAATTAATGTCTGAACAACCAGCAGACGACAACAACGGCGAGGAGAACAGGGAAGTTGGGGCCGAAAACGAACGTGATGACCTGTCAATTAACGCTAACTGCTCATCAAATAGAAAACTTTCATTTTATTCAACCTTCTTTTCGAAGCCACCAATACCTGAAAATACAAGAAATTTCAACTATTGCACTGAAGAAATTTTTGAATCCCACAACTTGGAGGAATTGATATTAGAGGCAAGAGGAAGACAGGAACAACTAACAACAGAATTTTCCCAAATTCTTTTGTTGCAGATCACGAACGCACTACATCTTCTTCACGAACACGGGAAAGCTCATGGAAGTCTTGACGCATCTGTCGTGTATTTTGTAAAAAACAAGAAGTATATTATCCTTGGAGAGCAACATGACGACAGCATAAACGGGACAAGTTATGAATTCTCCCAAGATTCTGTAAAACGGGACATGGTCTTCAACGCTAACTTGCACTGTTTTGTCTTAACAAATGGAGTTCATGAGGTTTTTAGCGAGCAAGTTACCTCAAGCGACCTCAAGTGTTTAGATTCAGAAATAGCGTTGGACCTAATGCGGAAAATGTCTGGAAATTACGATACCAAACAAGCACTTAAACATCCTTTCTATTGGACTGTTAAAAATAAAATTGTTTATTTAAATGAATCATGTGAAACCACACGATGCAAAGATATCAAAGATGCAAAAAAAGTGTTCAAGAACGACTCGTCGGCGAGAGTGATCCCACTTGGCGGTTGGATAAAAAAATTAGACCTTACTAAACAGGATATGTCACGCCTTAAAAGAAGAAAAATTAGAGGGCCTGTAAAAATACAAATTATCGCAGATTTAACCAAGCCTAAGAAAAACACGAACCGAAAAATCAAATTTGAAAATACATGCATATTCGATCTTTTACGATTTTTCCGAAATCATTATGTGCATATGAACGAAAACGAGGAGCCCGTAAAAGAATGCTTTGAAAAATCTGATGCTGGTTACTGGAACTTTTTCTCAACAAGGTTTCCCAAACTATTTATGCACATTTACACAATAATGATCTCATACAAGAAGTTTAATGTTGAGGAAATAACATACAACAAGCCCCTTCCAGACAGCCCCTTCGAATAAAAGATCAAAATAATTCATTTTTTGAATCGCAATTATTCGTTAACACATCTACACGCCATACAAATTTGATTGTCATGAAATATACCTGTATAATACCAAGATCAGACCAAGTTCCAAATGTATATATAAATGTCATTATATATTCAAAATCCATATTTGCGAATCTTCAAAAACGTGTTATTTTTTGATTCAATGAAAACACACATGAATGGGAATAAATTAATTCTGTTCATGACATGCATATAAATATTTAATGAAATCGTAAACATCTACTAAATCAGTTCTTCCAAACGTTTTCCAGTTCGCGGCCCACTTTTATTGGTTCGTTTTTGTGCAAACCACAATGAGATATTAGAGATATTATTATAAGAGAAAAGAAACAATGTATCCCATGCTATTTGCTATTAATGCGAAACTTGAGCTTTGCAAATTGGATATTATCAGATCAAATCTTGACTTGATAATAGACAGGCTCTCACAAAAAGTTTGTGAATGCTCGGTGATCCACCACCAGCTTCGCGACCCACTGGTTTGGAAGGACTGTAAACCATTCTTTCAGGTTGATCTGCCTAATTATGCAGTTCATAAGCTTTGACAAAATGAAAAATTTTGCAATATGCTTTTAAAGAGTGTTTTGAAACGTAGGATAATAATATTTTTATGATCTATATATATATGTATTTGACTATGTGGTTTCGACTTATAATAAAGTTTATAAAAATATTTTTTATAGGCCTAATTGTTACGATTCAATACATTCGCTACTCTTTATATGTACATGTTAGATTCTATTACCCTTGGATTGTTGTTTGGAGAAAGTTTATAAAATTATATCACTGTTAAATGATATAGAATGAAATCGACTATGATTCTTTGGTACAGTTGATCTGAAGCACTGACAGAAAAACACCCATATGGCGATGGTAGCATTCGAAAATAAGGCAAACCGCGCATCCGCTGTTGTTTTCAAATCCAAACTACATCCGTATAGTTCAGGGGTGGCCAACAGGTCGATCGCGATCGACCGGTCAATTCTTATGTCTCGAGCAGTCGTTCGCGTCTGATGTTGAGTGAATTTTATTGAAATACCACCAAAAAATGCCTCGAACTAGTTGTGTGTTTTACAACAGGAAGAATACAGTACTTTACAGGCGCAAAATACACATACAGTATTTGAGTCTTGGCAAGCCCGATAAAGCATATTATTATGTAACGCATGCAAGTTTTTCCGTTGCCAAGGTTTAAAAATGTAGAGCCGAATATCGCGTGTCTAGACTGACAAACGATCTTATAATAACTTCCGTAGTATGCGAAAGTTGTTGTTTCACTCCAAGAGTAGTGTGATAAATTTTATTTGCAATGGTAGCAGTGGCATCAAAATGCCCAATTTGTTCTAATTCTAAGCAAGCGAAGAATCGCGGGTACAATTAAATAATCAAATGACCAACTTAAATGGAGCATAAAAAATACAAATTTTGTGTCGATTTTAATAACAATGTGCCCACAAAGCCATCTTATTGGCAGCGGTAGGATTTTTTTGTATGCGTGTGCGCAGTTATCAGCACATTCAGTGTCCATGACCTTGTTACCGATCAGTCGGTCGCGATCCATTTTGAAGATTTTAGTCGATCGCGGTCGAAAGCAGGTTGGCCACCCCTGGTATTGTTGATTGTACCGTTTGTACATACATTCAAGATGATACAATCATATGTTTGAAAGAAAACCATATAAGACTATAAGTAATTTAACCCATATTTATATTTTCTGTCTATCGATCTCAAGTGTCCATATACCGCAGTCTATTTGCATCATTACCGCAAATTGCCCATCTGCAAATTTTCTTAATTTATGTTTGTATTGGAATATTTGTGATGTTGTTATACTTTAAATATGGTAACCTGTCAAAATGCGATTAGGTCGGAGGTCTTTGGTCCACCCTCCCAGCTTTTTATGGCTATATTGCTGGTCCTCGAAATTTCGCTTCGTTAGGCATGAAGATAAATTGTTAAATATTACAAAAAGAATTTAAATATACAATAGAAAAAAAGTTCAATTGCGAATGCTATTTATTTAGATTTTTGTTTAGTCAAGTTGGAGGTTCCAACTCTCGATGTATCATTTTACATCATGTCAACAAATCTTTCAAATGTTTTTGTGAAGATGCTGCTTTGCTTTCAGTAAAATAAATCGTTTTATTTCAATGTTGAACAGTATGAGAATAGTGACATGAAGTTATGAACTTGAAAATAGCACTATATTGTTTATATAAAGTTCAGAAATCGAAATTGGTAAAACTGGTAACATTACGTAAATGAAAGAGGAGTAGGGAAGGCGCTGAGTTAGTAGTTTAGGGAAACGGGTCAGAGATGAAAAAGTTAAAATTTACAAGATCGAATTTCCTGACCTTGGGTTACGATCTATTACACGTATTCTAGTACCAAACCGAAACCACTATCACATGTCTTTGAGCGCTGTATATGCGCAATTTCCTACCCGCTATTTTAGGCTTATTTGCTTATACAATTGTAATATATATTTTCTACTTTCTTGTAACGGTACAAAACTGCGAATACAATGAGGGAAAAGAATACAAGGCTAATAAAACAGAACGTCGGAACGTATTTGAATGTATAGTTCGTTTGTTTTTAAGTTAATTTTCATCATTTTTCGTAAAAGCGCGATTAATGGCATTAATGTTAATAACAACGTATTATGAATGAAGAATTAAATTAAATGTAATAATTTAGCTTTTTTCTTATGTAATTTCACGGAAACGTCAATGGATGAAAAATTAGGTCAAACGCGACACTATGTTTTTTGTGATTGCCAGAATGGATATCTCGAACCTTGAGTATTATTATTCTCCTGAATAATATTAGTTTTTTACACACCGATATATTCAACATTTATGAATCACACTCGTTTTCACTTTTTCACCAATGTAGCAATGATACATGGAACAAACATCATAAACTTTTTATTTTTCGATATAAACTAATACTATACGAGTTATGTCGGATCTTTTGTAGAAATGCCCCGCCACTAATGCAAAAATGTGAGATTTGGGTAAAACAGCCCCGCCACGTCAAAATACTGCATATTGTGCTCGCCATGTTTTTAATGACGCGCGTTCGCTAACCCTAACCCTGACATTGAAGAATTCCATCAATGAATGAAAATTGTAACCGAATAATTACTATTTTATTATTTTGAGTGAGGACGAGAGTATTTTTTTGGTGAAGGCTCTCACAAAAGATTCGTTACGGCTATAATATAACAAAATTTAGCTTATCATAAATATGTGGGTAGCGTTATGTATTTTAAAAATAAAATCCATTGGAAATGACTACTTCTACGTATTCCTATAAAAAAACTGAACAAAATTTATTGTGAAATTAATCGAAAATAAAAATTGTTTTAAATCTCGATTTTTGGTGAATTTTGTTAAAAATAAATTTGATACTACCGGTAATTTGCTTCGTTGGAATGGAGATAATTACTTTAAGTTTTCTTTATTAAGTCAGTGATAATTGTCCATCATTAATTTTTGTCACAGCGCTTAATCCCGAAGATGATGATTAATAAAGATTTCATACGTCATGCCTCTTCCGATGGACAGATAATTCGGATGTCGTTAGAACAATAAGGATGTATTTATTACTGAATTATCGGACTAATATTTTTTCGAACGAGCTTTAGAATTAAGCCTACTTTTATTATTATTTCGATAATTATTAAACAGACAAAAAACTATGCTTTTGGGTTATTTAGAGGATTTCGTGACAGGAATTAGATTTCTTAATTTGTTCATAATAGCATTCCTTGGGAGATTCGATTATTTGAATGTTTGAAGTTTGATTGTATTTGAACGTGTGCCACATCGAAACGAAATGACAAATCAAATCCATTTTACACTTGGTAAATAATTTATAAATTATTTGGATTCGCTTGTCATGTGAATAAGTTTTTCGGAACACTAGGTTTTTAAACATTTTTAAATAGTTCGCAAAAAATGAGGTCCGTTGAACATCGTCATGCATCGCAATTTGAATTTTTTTAGGATTTATCAAGAAAAAACTACTTGTTCGACAAAACTACTGTTTTGACTCATAATTCGTATGGTAATGAAAATAGAATTATTTACATAATTAAATTCCATTTAAAGATTGAAAATCAAACCCATCTTCAGCATTCGATAAATCTGTAATAAATCCCTAAATGTTTGAGACGGTTGAGGTCCGAAAGAATCCCGACCTTCCAGAAATGGGTACTCCTGAAGTATGCGCACCAAGATGTCGCATAACCTAAACCCTAACCTGGTACAGGTACACAACCTGAGTTCAGGTTATGCGCTATCTTGGTGCGCATACTTTAGGAGGTCCCAGAAATGATTAAGAGCGAAAAGCGTGCTTGACCATTGTATAAAATGATGTTATGTGCAAGTACAATATGTGAAATAAGTGGAAATCGCCATCATTGTTATGGCGAGAAATTCTCCCGAGAGTGTGTTGGAGGCAACCATACATGTTGTTTGTATTATTTATTCTCCGTATTTTGGTCTCGTTTTTTTATCAGATATTAACATCAGTTAGCTATTTGGCATCAATAAAGTAATATGGCGAATAAGAAACAGTCTTACCAAATACCGGATAAGATCAACTATTGTGTATGAACGATTCGAATGTTGAGTAAAATATCTTTATATATTTTCAGTGCTGGAAATCCGTGCAGTTGTTCACCTGCAGAGGTTTACCTGAAACCACATGGCAATCATGAAACTGTTCATTATCGTGTATTCATTAATTAAGTTATTTTTTAAACTCAGAAACAACTATTCTTTGCCTTTTTACTGCCACAATCCTGAATGACATCAAGGACGGATACGTTTTTAATTTGATTGGTGAAAAATACTGTGTTTTCATGCGGTACTAATATAAACTGAATCGGACAGCGAACCAAAATATCACGGTTTGGCATACATCCTTCTAGAATATGAGACTCAGCATCTCATCAAAATTGCAGATTGTGCTGGCGATGTCAGATTGTGCAGTAGTTGGTATGTTTATGCCCGTAGAAAGTGCGATGCTCTCCGAAAATTTTAATTGTTTTTCTTACATTTGCAGGCGACCTACTGCAGTTGCATCTAATGACGAAATTTACGCTCTCGTGAAAAAATATGATATTCTACTTAACTTGAGTTCAATATAACAATGCCCGCCAGTATACATCGAAATGATACATATTTTGACTTTAGTGTTAATGTTTAGATATTTGGTCGATATCTTTTATATATATATATTTTTGCTTGGACAAAGATTAATGTAATACAGCCCATCAATTGTAATATTATACGCAATTCGTCATGTCGGATATCTCGTGTATGTAGTCGTTTTTTATGTGAAATAAAACTCTTCTGATATTGCAATGGCATACCGTATAACTTCTTTCGAGTTTATCGTAAGAACTGCGGGTATCGTGAATGCAATCTAAAACAGACAAAGTTAGTTCCAAACAGCTTGGTAGAAGAAAATTTGACAGAACGATGGTTATTAGAAAAAAGGTTTCTATATAACATATCTTGACAAGCACATGTTATACCGAACGTAGTGAATGGATGTGAAATATGCGTCACGAGTGAGCGAGATTTCAACATCAACTCAAATAAGTTTGCAGTGGAATATCTCACGCTTGTTGAGAGTATGTGGCTCAATAAAATATCAAATTTAATGTAAACACATACAGCTGGTTTCACAAGAACCTATGCAATCGGTTACAATTATAAATTTTCCTATTTTGTACCGACCAAATAGAAATTTCATTCAATTTATTACGCAATGGTATCCAGTTGTATGAGATTATATCAAAAGTCGACTCCTATCCAAAAAGATTTGGCTTGCAATAAATAAAGTCAATCCATTGTCCTCCATATATTCGAGTCAGTCCAATGGTTTGCAGCCATGGAGGATCGGAATTGAATTCCATCGATGTGGGAAACACATTCTTACAATCTGACACAAATTGCATTAATTTGTCGGGCGGATTAAAAATATTTGTCACGCACCATAAATTGATTTTTATTTTTTTGTAGAATATGACGAATGCAAATAATAATAATGAATGTTTTCGAGCAATAATAAGATATAGACAGCGTATAAGTTTATTTCTCCAGGCTCCAGCTGGTTCGAAACCTGTTTTTGAATGTCATTTCCAAACTTTTTACCATCGACTGGAAGTTCTGAAGCTACGCCGCGTAATTGGTCAGATACATTTGACAATTATAATATTGGAGAGAGAAGATTTAAACAAATAGGTTGAAACTGACCTTGGGTCGTAGTGCCCACGTTTATGTGGCCTAAAACTCACAGTATGCTTCGGTTGCGTTTTCGCTTTATATAACGTCACAGTGCCACGATACACAAGATCAAGAATGCTTTTGGATACGAAATTAATCGTTTTGTTATGAAACACGAAGTATCGTTTTGACATTTTGTATTTATTCTCTTGTTGTAATAAAAAAAATCGCTTTTCTTCTCAATTACTTCAAATGTTTGCAAAAATTTCCTGTGACCTATATGGGATTAATTTCTTGTGTGCGACGACGTTATGTATAAATTGTTTATTATTAAACACGAAGTGGCATATGAATTCGTTTGGATATTTTTCCACTTGATGTTATGAAAAATCGCTTTACTCTGTATTCGCTGTCAATTGCTTTAACATTTTCCGTAGTTAAAGATGTATTTGTCGCTAGAAGACTATTACTTTTATTTATTTCAAAAATTCATGTGGCCTCTATGAAATTCGTTTTTTGTGTGCGAGACGTTATCAAAATTAAAATTGCGGTTGTGGCGGTTCCTCGTTCTCATTCGTCACTAGCTGATGTTCAGGCGAAGTCGCGAAGACTGCGCTGCCGCTGGCCTGAAGTGAAAAAAAAAATTATTGAAAAATTGCATACTCGTACTACTTCGTTTTGGCTTTCGAGTTCATACATTTAAGCATTGCTTTCTCGTGTTAAAATTTTCTTCGATATGAACTAATACAAGCTAGGGCGGATCTTTTGTAGAAAGTCTCCACCAATTTGAAAAAAACAGCCCCGACACGTTTCAAGTACTACAGATTGCGATCGCCACGTTTTAAGTAAATGCGCGTTCGCTAACCCCTGGGCCATTGCTGATTTCAGTGCTGAATTCCATCAATGAGTTGTATTGATGTGAATTGTGACTGTCTAATTACTCATTTTTTATTTTAAGCTTTTTTTTTTGACGGAGGCTTTCTACAAAAGATCAGTCACGGCTATAATATAACAAAATTTAGCATATCATAATTATGTGCACAATATATTTATTAAATTATCCATTAGAAATGGCTATTTTTACGTATTCCTGGATACAAACTGGACAAAAATCATTGTAAAATTGTTTTAAAAAAAAATTGTTTTTATTTTCGATTTTTATTGCGCATTTTGTTAAAAATAAATTAAAGCTCATCGGTAATTTACCTAGTTGGAATGAAGGTAATTATTTGAAATTTTCTTCGTTGAGTAAGTGATAATTGTCCATAATTATTTCTGCACATAGCGCTCAATCCCGAAAACGATGTTTTACAAAGACGTGTGCGTTATACTTTTCGATACTGTTAATAATAACGAGGTCATTAGAACAATAATGATGTATTTCTGGATTTTGGGACTAATTCTCTTCAAATGAGCTTTAGAATTAGGCCTACTCTTATTCTTAATTCGATAATTATTGAACAGACGAAAAACTATGCTTTTGGGTTAATTAAGGTTTCGTTACTCGAACTGGACTTGTCTAAAATAGCATTCTTTGTAAGATTTCATTATTTGGTTGTATTAAGTTTGATTGTTTTTAAAACTTGTGCCACTTCCAAACGAGCAGACAAATCAACTTGATTTGCTAATACATATAGTGAAACAGGTCGAAGCATTCGGTTTCGTTTGTCATATGAAAAAGATTTTTAAAAAAATATGTTATTAAACATTTATTAAAAATAGTTCGCACAACGTTTAAGTCACCCGCTGAAACACGTTTTTGTACATCATACTTGTGCATTTGTTTTGGCTCTCCCGAAGTATGTGCACCAAGATGCCGCACAATCCGAACCCTAGCCTGGTAAACATGCTGTGTTCAGGTTGTGCGCCATCTTGGTGCACATACTTCGGAAGCTCCTTTTTTTCCAAGATTCATCAAATAAAAAAAACTACTTCTGTTTTGACACATATTTCGTATGATAACAAATGTTAAAAATGTGAGTATGCCACTCCAAGGTTGAAAACTCTTCAGCATATGTGATAATAAATGTGATATAGTCGTAAAATGTTTGAAAGGGTATGAAGCTAGGACAATGTCAAATCTGAAAAAATCAGGATCTTTAAAAAATGTCAGAAGCGAAAGGCGTGGATAAGCGTTGTATGAAAATAAATAAACTATGTACTATTTGTGGAATAAGTTGAAATCGCCAGCATTTGGATGTCGGGAAATTTCCCCGAGGGCATGTTGAATTGAAATAAATTCGCTGGGCGTACAAGGTTGATGACCATACTATCTCGCGAAGAAACAGTTATGGATATCCCGGTAAAGCTTGCTGTTTTATACATGGTGTTCTATAGCTGTCGAGGAGCACAATTTCCAGACATAAAAGTACTTGAGGTTGGTTAAAAACACAATTTTTAGCAAAAATTCATAAAATATTTATCTAACGTAAACGTGTAGTTCAAATCTAAAAATTATTTTGTCGGAATAACCAAAAGCAATTTATTCCAATAAAAATGAAGATTGTTGTGTAAATATCTTTGAAAAAACTAATGTTTCTCAACAGATTTTCGTTCCGAATTGATTTCCTCTATTTTGCATGGGATGCAATCTCTTACAGTTACATGAGATTTTTTGAACAATTGTTATTATACAATAAAATCTAATTTTATTCTAAGTCAATGCATTTCTTGTAATGAATAATATGATTCAATGAGTATCCTTCAGTAGTGGTTTAGTTCGAGTGCAAACTTTTTAGTTATTTTATATCTAAAATATTATTTTTTACAGAATTGCCCATATGATGGTTTGCCGAGATGCCAATTTATATCAAAAATGTAAGTATAGATTTATGTCAGCTGCAGTAGTTTATATGGTATTTAATCGCTATCTAAGTGGATCCAAATTATTAGGAATTATTCGTATTAGTAAATGAATAGTCATTCGATTATAAACGATTGTTGAGCCAGATCATGATTTTAAATCTTTGGAAAATACTTTACATAGATACTATATAAGATTTTACACTATTATATCGTGTAGCGTTCAAAGATGTATTGTAATCATATCACCTTTAAAATTGTGAACTGTGCTACAAACCCCTTTGCCTTACAGAGCGTTAAATCCCGGAGCATTTTGTCCAAATGACCCGCCATATTATCCAACTGTCGACGCCGTCGACGAAGAATGTGCCACAAAATGTTACATTCCGGCGCCTAGAGGACCGGACCATTGTCACTTTCTCGAATCATACGAATGCAAGTAAGCAACAATACAGTTTCTCACTTTCTATAGTACTACATAGAGACATTTTACCATACTTCATCATAGTTTGGTTGTGAATACTCGTATTACATTTTGCATTGTACAATGCTTGTACTAAGTTTATTCGAAAAAAGCTATTCTGGTGGACATTGTGTCAAGCATTTTTGTCACGTTTTTTATCAAATATTAACATTAGTTAGATAAATATTCACCAATAAAATAAAATGGCGAATTAGAATCAAACGAGCAGTTACCAGACGCAGATCAACAATGGTGTATGAACAATTTAAAAGTTGAGTAAAACTATTTTACACATTTTCAGTTATGGAAATCCATGCGGTTGTACACCTACACCGACGTGCATAAAACCAGGTGGCAATCCACAAACTGTTCAATACCTGGTATTTATTAATTAAGTTATTTTTTTTAACTCACTAGTAGTAACTGGTTGAATTATGACAAAATGTAGTCCAATCGATAGCAACCAAATCTTTTTGCTACTTTGACACGAAAACAACAAGAGCATTGTTTTTTAGGTTTGCAATTTTTCTGATTTTTAAATGACATCAAAACGGACACGGTTTTAATTTGTCATGGTGATAATTATCATGTTTTTATACGGTCCTTACTTGACTCTGAATCAAAATATCACGAATGACAGAATCGTATATGAGACATCACGATCTCATTCAATATGAAATAAATTGCGCAACCTGTGGCAGTTTATTCCGTGGTTGATATGTATATGTGGACGCATGTTGAAATGCACCTAAAGAATTTAAATGCTTTTTTTTTATTTTGCAGACGATCTATTGCAAGTGCTCTCCAGGCAATAGCTAAAAGAAAACATGATATTCAACTTCGATCGGGTTCAATAAAGATTATTTTGTTTTAGGTGTACACATATTTTGTACACTCTCATACTGCTTTTGTGGTCAAATTTAAAACAGTGAATATTCAGATATTTAGAAAAACATTAGTATAACATTACTATTTAGTAATTAGTGTAACCATTAATTGTAAAAAAAAACGTATTTCATCATGTCAGATATTTCATTTATATATACGACTGTATACAGTCGTAACTTTTTGAAGTGAAATAAATCGCTTTTAAAAACAATGGTATAACTTTTTTCTGTGTGCCTCGTGACAAATTGTGGTTATCGTCTTACTCAGAATGCCATCTTAAACGAACGAAGTTAGTTCGAAACATCTTAGCCGAAGGGAATTTGACAGAACGAAGGTTAATAAAAAGATCGTTTTCATATAGAACAGTAAGTGTAGTGTTGACAGGAACAGTCGTCGACAACAGACGTTACGGCGGTGAATGGGGTGTGAATTATTCGCTAGGCTACATGGCACAAAATCTTCTTTGAATGTAGGAGGGCGATATCAATTTAAATACACAGGCTATCCAACAAAATATGCAGAAAGCAAAGGACTTATTCATAACATCACCTTCCCATCACTTTACCTTCAAAAGTGACGAGCGTCACGGACGAGCGAGATTTTCACACCCACTTAAACGAATTTGCAGTTTCCAATTTTTCACACAAGTTGCGGGTATGCCATTATTCAAGTACCCTGTGCAATAAAATATCAACGGGAAGATGGTTTCACAAAAATCTTCACAGTTGATTACAAATATAGGTTTTGACAAGCTTCCCCAATATGGACGGGCCGACTACAAGCTGACGAGAGGTCCGCACAATGAAAATCATTCAATTTAATATTAATACCCAATCGTATCCTTGGATGAGAGGCCGACTCTAACCTAAAATGATTTGGCTTGCAATAAATCGGGTCAATACCATTGTTTTCAGTATATGCCCGGGTCATTCCCGCGTTTGCCGTTAGCGTGGAATTCCAGAGTCTGAGGTTTAGGCAAACCCATGATTACAATCTAACAAATTACAGTAATTCATCAAGCATCTTAGCATTTTCTTTCTTATAGACTGCTGCATCAGGATTATTATCTATTTGTTTGTCGTCTTTTTTCCAACACAGCTTAAATTTTGCGGTTTAAAGTGCATGGAGTAATATTTCGGGTCATTTATTAAAAATTGCTGCTATAATTGCTAAATCGAAAGATAATTATCAGATAATAAGCAATACTGATTCCTCGATCGTGAACATGTTTATGGCAAGTCATTACAAACTTAGAAAGATACGCATCTCAATGTACAAGTGCGATCTGTTCTCCTAAACATTAGCATTAATCCAGTTTACTTGATAGGATCCAACGCGATTAGATCTTAAAAATACCAGGTCACGATTAGCACAGGACCTCAAGGCGAATAGAATATAAATATATATACAGTGTGTCCAAAGAATTCTGTCCGATATCATACTAATAACAAAAAAAGATTTCATTTGTCTTTTTATTAATAGTTCTTATTGTGCTTGCAGTTCTCATTTATCATACAATGAATAATAAACTTATAACTGGTATTGCTGTAAAATCGGGCAAAGTTTTTAATTGTTATTACCATAAAATCGAGCGAATTTTTTTCGGACACGCTGTATATACAGAATATAAGGCGCTCCCGTATTATGTGCAAGATAGCGCACAACCTGAACCCTAACCTGGTACACATACTATGTTCAGGTTGTGCGCCATCTTGGTGCGTGCACATACTACAAGAGCACCGAATATAAATATATTCGCGGTTATGATAATCCAAGTTAATGAGAAACACGGAGATCACTTACCAAAGCAGCACCAATAAAACTTTATAACAGAAGTAAATAATTAAAACAAACGTTTATAGCAGGGTGGTCCAAACCCAGGCCCGCGGGCCACATGTGGCGTCGCCTTTGCCGAGAGGAAATCGAAAAATCGCAGTTGGTGTTGTTTCGTCATAAAAATAATCAGAAAATCTTATCGACATCTTGTTACATCACTAATGCCACTAAATTGACTAGTGACTTGACGGCTAGCTGAAGCAACTAGCGAAGTTGAATATTGTGCTTGGGTATTCCAAATTGTTCACTGGCTTTATATCTTTTTGATTGGGAATATATTTAACAGTTATAATAAATAAATATCAATGTTATGGCCTGAGAACATAATTCATTCCGGTGTTCTCTTGCAACCAGCCTGCAGTTATGGCAAATATAATCTAAAACGGCATTTTGCTATCATGTGAGCCATGAGCATTTTCAAATTCTAAGGTAACCGACCAGCGGTTACGTGAACCACCCTACGGCGGCGAGGAGTCCAGCAATCCTCCTGCACATGATCATCCACGCATGGGATTCGAACCTGCGATCCCACGAAGGGTAATCAGAGATGCGGTGACGAGCGTATTCCTAACGCTTAGCACGATGCGCCTCACCGCCGGGCCGCGCAATTACCGACGGCAGATTTTAAATTGTGAACGACATAAAAATATTGATAATTTGCAATAATAAGCCTACATCCCTCAATCTCTGTCTGAAATTGCTATTTATAATATGCGTCACTACGATCGCCAAATGTTTCTTTCAAATATCATTTATTTTTCCCGAAGAACCAACACAAAATAAGAGGTTTCGACCTAGATCGTCCGTCTCTCTTGGCGTTGAATATATAATCAATCTTCAAATAAACATCATGTCTAAGTCAATCTATTAAACAAATTAATGAATAGAAAGTCCAACATTTTCCAGGTATAGCGTGTAAAACCAAGCTGTTTATAAGTCACACAAAAAATATCCAATTTTATACCCAAATGCAAGTTTAGTTTCAAAGGAGCAGCATTCAGAAATTAAAATCCTGCGAGTTTTTTCAACTCTCTCCGACGTATTTTCCCAGCAGATTTTGGAATAGCTTCAATAAAATCCACTCCGCCTCTCAAATGTTTGTATTCGACCAGTTCATCCAAACAGAATACACATTCATCACAAAACAATCTAATTCTAGTACCTAGGCCTAGGGGATGCCACCGGATGAGCGTAGGCAGAATTTCAAAAGATGCGTATATTTCTGGTTCGCTTTCTTGGGCTTAGGGTGATTTCTGGACTAAGCTGGACTTGAACCTGGGATGTTGTTGAAACTGATGGATAAGTGAGTTCTGTTAAAAATAAATTACCTAGTAGGTGTAATTGTATAATTACTTTTTACAAACTCTATAATTTCGTCCTTGGAGAGTGTTTCGTCTTTTCGCACGACATAGGCTTTTGGTACTTCGGCCTGCAAAGTCATCCGGTATTCCAATTACACCCACATCGGCAACCTTTGGATGTTTCAAAATTAAGCTTTCTAATTCCGCAGGTGGCACCTGTAATTCAATTCATAACTCAATTGGCATGCAATGTGGAGTCGGACAAATCGATCTAGTAGTATTTGGCGCTCAGTGGGCATGAGGTATGATACGATTGTATTGCACGTTAGAGATCACGTGTCTAGATTAGTCCATCGTAAAATCTGAGTCGCCAAGTGTTAGATGAGAGAATGGTACGGAATGTAATATACATATTTTTCCTGAAGCTTGGTGGCTTTGATCGAAATAATTGATTAAATCGACAGAAGAAATTGCGATCACAGTGAAGATATTCAAGATTCGACAAGATACCGTGAAATTGGGACATATGGTATATGTTCTCTCCACAGTTATATCAAGACACAAATATACGAAATTATGCACCAATGCGTTTTCTTGACAGGGAGACGTGCTTCTACACTTTGACGTTGCCTCCAGGATTTGCTTTCCAGGATAATAGCATTTGAGAAACTCTGAATACTTTTTTCACTTTTTACTTGGCTTTTGAATCGATAAAACAATATTTATATCAATAAAATTTTCATTTCTTATACCTGATGAGTTTTGTATTTTATGACTTCTTTTAAACGGTCAATGACATATAACATTCCGTTTTTATCGTAGTAACCAATATCTCCTGTGTGTATCCACCCATCTTTATCTATTGTCAGATCGGTTGCTTCGGGATTTCTCATATATCCTTTCATAACCTACAAGTACAAAAATTAATTGTATATTAGTCGAAACTATATTGTTTAGCTGCTTGTGCAATCCGAAATCGGTTCGTCATCAAGCAAGAATATATGATACCCAAGTTTGCAAAAAGATAACTGAAACAAAATTCAAAGATATAACATAAATATGGTTGTGTGTTTTATTCAGTTTGAACACTATAGTTTACCGTTCATTTTCCGCGTTGAAAAGTCAGGAGAGGTTCATATATTGGGCGAGGATTGCAAACCCTCAACGTGATTTAAATACATATAACTTGAACCGGATAAATATTACTCAGATCAGTCAGTTGGTATATATATATATTCTGAGATTTGTAATGATAGTTTCCCGAAGACGACTTATAAAGTAAGCTGCTTGGCAAAACTAATGGCCAAGTCCAGCACCGCAAAAGCCACAAAAATTCCAACGAATACACGACATTTCATCAGGTTATTGGGATCCCTGATAAAATAGGAAATGCTGCATTTTTTATCAAATATAACTTACAATTTTTAAAAGTGGTAACGAACCTGTAGCATTAGTGATTCATGGATTTTGTTTAACTCACTTGTGGGCCTTTAGTCATGATTTCTCCATTTTGATCACAACCAAGTTCGTCGCCAGTGGTCAGATCTACAACCTGAAAAACAATGGTAAAAACGCCAATAACAAGATTCTGTTTGCGATGAAAAAATGTTAGTAAAGAATTTATAATCAGGAAAGACGGTAATCTACCTTTACTATAGTATTTGGTGCCGCTGATCCAACAGACGATAAAAAATTCTCGGCGTCGTTATTTATAGATATAGGAGAACATTCTGTCATTCCGTACACTAAATAAAACATAAGGTCGTTTGCAAAAATATATTTTTGTAAATGTAAAATTCTACATGATGCAGGTGTGTCTATCTGATTACATACTTTCGTACTATAACATTATTTGTATCATATCACGGTTGGTTAAAATGGCAATATAAATAGCTTCAAATAACCGGAATAAAACTATTAATATATTTATTACACGATTGAGCATAACTATATAAACACAAGACAATCGGGGTAACCAGCTTACTTGGAGCTATTTTAACTTTATAACGCTCTTTTAAGGCGTTCATTATTGGCTCTGATAAAGAGGCTCCTCCACAAGGAATGAGTTTCAAGGATGAAGTATCGTATTTGAAATATTCGTCTGTCTTTGCCAGTAGTATCTAAGCGATGGAACTGCTGGAAGATGGGTGATCTAAAAGAACAGATGTACGTAAGAATATAGAAATATTTGAAATACGAAATGGCAACTAGAACTCCAACCTTGTACTTTCTACCGCTGCGAGAATTTTTTCCACATTAGAGTCTTTGTCTAGCACAGTTTAACACCGAGCATCAGCGTGAAGATTGCAACTCCAAATCCACCCATGTTAAACATTGGTCTATCCATGTAAAAAGAATCTGTCGTTGTGTATCCGGTTGCCATGGCTGAATAACATAACAAGATCAGTAAAATATCATGGTTTTTGCCCAATGATGAAATATCATAACCGAGAGAACATACCCTCCAATCAAACTACAAGCAACGAGATTTGTATGAGTTAACATTACACTTTTGGGCAAACCTGTAGTTCCACTGGAATGAGGTAACATGCAAACATCCTCGCTGGGATTTATTTCAACATTTTGAGGAAAATCTAAAAAGTAACAAAATGAAACTTTTAATCATGAACGGATAGCAAAGTTCCTCCCTTGGTTGTCATCCTGGGTGAAAGATTTCCAGTTAGCGCCTGAACATTGGTAAAAGAATTAGGGTGTATCAAAATTTCTCGGTGGAACTGCCGCGTCTGAAACATATAGCTTGTTTCGAAAGTATAAATATTTTTTCTGATAGGTCACCTTGTCATAACTATGTGATATAATTTTGTGTAGTAAATTCTTTGTATAATTTATTACACTAATCTGAAATATATGGCGCGGAAAACTGTAGTTTAAAAATAATGCGTTACTAGGTCCTGATTGTTTTCTAATGGTAAACATACCCTTCTCGTTCTCTGGTAGAAGCATATCATTCAAAGTAGAAAATTCTTCACTGCGTCCAATGACAAAAAGTTTCTAAAAATTGTGATAGAAATAACATTTTGACCAAGTTAGGTGTCAAATAAAGCATAGGAACGTATTTTAACGCATATCGATGTTAGAGAATTTGCTACAATATTGAACCGAAATATAGAAACTGAAATGCAATTGGAAACAGCATTTGAAAATCACGCGATATTCTTCATAATTTCACACATGATCTTGCTTTCTTGTAAATGAATTGGATGAGTATGGTGGCCCATCGTTGTCACTAGTAAAATTTAAAAAATAAAATGAAAAAATTAAAATTATAAAAAAAAACAAAAAAATTTAAAATAAGAAAGGAAAATAAGATAAAAACGGGATAAAAATTCAAAATAAAATTTGAAAAAATAAAATAGAAAATTGCGTTTTTTTTTAATTTTTTACTGCATTTTTATTTTTTCATTCCGTTTTAATTTTTTTTTTTACAAATTTTTTTTTAATTAATTTTTATTTTCAGTTTTTATTTCACTTTTTAAATTTAACTATTGACAACGATGAGCCACCATAGATGGGTGTAGCAATCACAACTTCGTAAAAACTTCACTCCTAAAAACGCTTAGAGCTTTAAATTCCTTTTCTGCATTTTAACGTTTATTAGGAGATCGTCTAGGAGAAGAGAAAATAAGTTATTACCACGAGTATGTGTCGACAATTGGGTATTTAGGTGAGATGCTTGTTGAGAAAAACAGTCTCATAAGCGTTTTAAAGTATCCCATCTACGTAAGAGTATTATTTTACAGTAGGATGCTTAAAAAAATAGATTTCATAAAAAAATACCTCGACGTATGAAAGTTCCTTCAGCACTTCTTTCATCAACTCAACATTACCTTCGTTAACAAACACCATATTTGGTTCGGAAATTTTGAATTGTTGTATTATTTCACCTGTGACAAAAATTTTGCAATTATGCATGAAAGCCATACATAATATTTTAAATTTTTTTTAACTTTTCTCTCTACGCAAATTTATTTCGGATGGTTACTTTGTGGAGTATAATAGAGTTATAAACAGCTCGGGTGTATGTTACCACGTCTGGTACTATAGTACGACATTAACCCGATAAGGGAATTATGTATTTAAAGATCTGAAATAAACTCGAAATCAATAATTACGATTGTCGATATTCTGCCCCCCTATTGCTACATACTTTTTCACGTGCCCAAACTACAAAACGTTGATAACAAGATATGAAATCAACAGAACGGTTTCGTCGCTACGGTAATTCATGTTATTTTATACGAATCAAACACCTTTAGTATATTCTGGATTGCATGGAGCTACTTTTGCGCCGCATGACAAAATTCCAAACATTGCAACAGGGAATTCTAAGCAAGTTGGTGCGCAAAGACCTACAGTGTCTCCTTGTTTCAAACCCTGTTTGTTTAAAGATCCAGCACAGCAACGAATTTTGTCTCGAAACTCGTTGAACGTGAATTCTTTCCCGTCGAGTGTGTTATCCACCTATAATAATGGCAAAGATGTTAAGATGTTCCACTTTTTACCAACTTGTATGGTGTTATGAGAGACCTACCATAATCGCAGAAAATACATGCAGCATGTCATATTAACGCACGAAATAAAAAACTTTCTCGCACGCATAAAATGCCTGCTTGATATATATATGCATCTTTGCTTGTAAAATTTAAAAGTGTAGCATATTTTCCATATTCATATGAGAATATACAAATTATTCAAGTTTTCTAGGTATTGTCAAATCAAAATCCAGCTTCAAGCCAGTTCACGTTGCCTTGCCCTTTGGCAAGATAGCGGGTCCGACGCAGAGACTTTTCGTCTGAATACTATCTTTGGTTTTTGAGTTTAACGTAATTTCATACAGAGCTCTGCTCCGGCATTCATCGAAAAAATACGCAGCATTGTAACAGCAATTTGATAAAAAGCCTTAGGCAAGTGTGCAAAAGCGCAATTTTGTATTTGACAAAATACTGTTGTTAAAAGACTTACCATAGCTACAGCATCCCCGTATCCAAGCATTCTTTCTAGTACTACTTCAGACAATGATTTATCGGGTATAACGATGTCTGGAAGAGAACACTGGATCGGCATATTGCTGGCCTGTCGCGAGACTAATTCCTAGTCTTCACAATTAGATAGATAATTTGATATAAATACTTAGCTATATGATAATGTAAATCGTCCACCATTAACACGCTCTGCGCCTGCTAAACACACTAAAACGCATCCGGAATATTTTCCGACTGACGCTTCCATGCTTGGATGCCCACACCACAGGGTTATTCATGAGTTCCAAAACGAGTTGTCTGAATGCAAAATCGAGAAATTGTAATAAACGAATGATTGCTATAATTTCTTCAAGATAAGCTTATGTCTTATATGCGAATCTACGAATTTGTTACAATATTATTCGGTACACCATTTTCGAAATATATGTATTGATATGTTTGTACATATTTTATATAAATAATATGCCTGGGAGATATTAAGCTGTTTTCAATTTTGTATTTGAAACATGATAATACAACTATAATGATACAACCACGTAGTAAGTAGTTCGTTTATTAATTTCAGAATAAACTATTGTTATTCAACAATAATATATACATATGGTCAATGCAACTGCTGTAATGAACTGGTTAACTTATCCGTGCCACTGCCTTAACTGCAAGCCTTTCGACTAAGCCGCCATATCGCACTTGCACTCGCTTAGGACTGAAGTTACTCTAAGCTGTCAGCGAAACTGCTTGTTGAAAACTTATTCCACAAAAAGGAAGTTTTCAGGAAAACACTTCTAGTTCGGAAATCTCCGGAAGCCTGTAATAGTAAAATTAAGTGTATTTTTGAGAGTAGGCCCCACCATATTTTTACAGAAAATTATAAATTTGAGAATAATGTTAATTTTTCGCTTCATATTCGTGTATGTGATTTCTAATTACATTCTATTGGCTGGGTTATCGAAGAGCAGAAAGTTTATTTTCTACTCTAGGTCTAGAACAGTGGTTATCATCTTTTTTAGTGTCAGGGTCAACTTTAAACCTTATGGTTGTGAGGAGCCGCATAAAAACAACTCAAGTATGTATTTTGAAATAGCAATATCAACGAAACTCGGGGTAATAGTCGATATAACGCCAAACTTGCCCTTGCCTTTGAATTTTGAAATGCGAGCCGCAAATCGTGATGGATGCATTCTTCAGCAATATATATAACAGTAGCTAGCTTCATATTTTCAAGACTGATATATATTTTAAAATACCTCTACTTTCAATCACATTGAGACGCCTGATTATATTTATGAAGAAGAAGAGTAACGAATTTAAATTACTTCTTCTTTCAAGTGGATTTGGAAAAGAACAGAATTCAAAGAAAGAAATAGAAATGCGACGAAGACAATCAGGAGGCGGAAGGAGGTAAAGTAATAACTGAAACGTTTAGTAAAACACAAAAACCATTATTCGAATTTTTTTATAAGCTGATGAGGAAAATGACATTTTTTCGTTGAGGCCGGAGCAGGAGACACATTTTCTAAACAGCCCAAAGTTGAAGTTATTGTTACAAAAATTAGATTATTTCGGATTTTGCAGCTGGAGTGGAAGTAGAAGTTATTTTCATCCCGGAGTCGGGAGTTGTAGTCAGAGTAAAGAAAATGCTCACCCAGAGTATGGTTTGAGTCCGGATTCGACAGGCAGGAAGGATCCATGAGGATCACGATCTCAAGTGGAAGCATGTCATTGGCGTTTGCACAGACGGTGCACCTGCAATGCTTGGCTGACGTTTCGGTTTTCAGATTTTGGTGAAGAAGAAGTCCCCAGACGCCATTGGTACACACTGCATTATTCATCGTCAGGCACTCATGGGAAAACTATGCCTGATGAATTAAAAAAAACTCCTCAATAGTGTGATTAAAGTAGTTAACTTCATCAAAACGAACGCACTGAACTCTCGTCTCTTTGCTGATTTATGAAAAAATAGCGATGCCCCATTTCCAATTCTAAATTCATTTCTCGATGAAAATGAACTTCGCATACGGGAGAATATCCTATCCATGAAACGTCACGTTTTCATTCTTGCTGAAGAAAATTTTCCGTTATTTTCACACCTTACCAGATTTTGAAAAATATTATCGATTCATCAATAATCCGTTTGGAATCACCTATTAGCGATATACCTTCGGAAGACAGTTTAATTCAAAAACAGTACATCGATCTTGTGATTGATTGGGGTGCAAAACCAAATTTTCAATACATGCCCCGCAGTGAATTTTGAATTGTTTTATCCCGATGTCGCTAAGATGGCACTAAAAGTGGTCATTCCATTTCGTATCGAGAACGAAATTCGGCGGTCAACGCGCTTCAACAATTTAGTGAAGTAAATGAAGTGCAGATGAAAATGAAGAAGTAGAAGGACCGGCAATAGCAGTAAATAACTTAGCCAATAACTTAGGTGCTGCCAAACCAAAACATTATGGCCGGATAGCAAATATAAATAGAGCTCGGAAACGACAAAGAGAACAGTCAACAAATGATGTCAGAAGAGAAGGAGTGAAAGAATATGATGAACCAGCAAACAAATTATTTGAGATGGAGCCTGATAGCAGCGTTAGAGAGACCGGATCTAACGCCACTCATGCTTCTAATGGTACAATTATCCAGGATCATATAGAAGGGGACACAAACTGGGCAAATGGAACAGTCTTAGCGACCTATGCGAAGGCGAAAACGTATACAACACGGAGCATGGAAATCCGTAGGAGATCAGAAGGAAGTCCGCCACCACCTGATGTCCAAGACGAATAAAAAGACCAATTCGGAGGAGGACATTTCTTTGAAAGTCAATTAAGAACAGAAGGCTTTAAACTACCAACAAATTGAAAAAGTAGTACAAGGAAACGATTTTTACCGTGGTTAAACCCATTTACTGTATACGAATGCTTCAGAGTAAAGAATCTAACAACAACGGTATATCACCCGATGAACATTGGCAGACCGGCAACAGCGACACAAACAGGAGGAGTACCGTACCACTAATGTACCTCACAATATGGGAGAACATCAACATGACAAACGGGCAATCATCAGGCGGTGTATCTGGAGTATTACAGACTACAGTATGGATCGGTGTATTACAGTTACCATGTCTACCAGGAAGCTGAAAAATAAGATTGGGGATAAAGCTGTGTACAATGCATCACTATCAGAAACAACAACATAAAGTAGATTTAATAAACCCGTCAAAAACAACATCAACAATGACAATTGATACAAATAATATACGATGGTATGTATATTACGGCTGATATGGCGAAGCTGTGAATGGAGATCTAAAATCTCAAGACACGTTTCCGGGATTTAATGAAGATGGATACACACTGGTATACAGAGAATGAAATACGTAATAGAATTTAAAGGAATGAAGAATAACAACGATTTAAATTGTAGCACTAATAATGTTTGCTGAAAGATCCACTACCAAACAGATGTTAGTTTATGTCTGCTTAAAATATTTAATTGTTTTATACGACGAAGATGAAGCGCGGTTCAGACGAAGGTTCGATAGAAAGTTTAACCGAATACTGCAGCACTTCCAAGAAGAGGCGGATCGACGAAGAAGAATTTGGATGGCAGCCGGGGGAGATGCAGCCAAAGCGGTCTTATGCCTGGGCGTTCACTTCGCTGAACATGCCCAATCGGAGTATTAAGATTGGAACCACGTGGATATGCACGGGTTCTTTGAAAACCATGGATACTTGTGGGTCAGCCTATGGTATTCTGGTGTGTATCGGGGATGGTGGCTCCAGGTCTCTGACTAACTGGCGAAAGAGAAGGGTACAGAAAACGCATAGAAGAACTGTACAATAAATTTGGCAAAGCCTAAGACAGGCGTATGGAGTGCCCTATTACAAGACAACTTCAGACTGCAAATAGCAATGTGCTTATAAATCGATCATTTAAATTATAAAAGATGGCCAACAATCACAGACTCCAGGCTATCGAAGAAAATAGCAAAACTCAACGACAATAAGAGTGTTCATATGCCACCAATCAAAGCATAATGTACCGTGCAATATATACATAACAACGTCGGAGAAACCAAATGGAAGAAGCATGTACTAAAAAAAAAGAAATAGATACCTGCTATTCGCAGCAATTGAAGCACGAAGCGAAAGAATCGAGTTATCATCACACATCTTAATCGAAGTGACAGCAGGTGACGGAAAGACAACACTGGCAAAATTATTATACCCAGCTGAAATCGCTTCCATTCTGCCAAATGGAGATGGAACGACACATTTACTTCTGTGGCGGATTGTTTGAAATTTCCTCTAGAACTGAGTTGAAGATGGTCGATCTTTATGAGGAAGACCAACTGAAATGCGCTTCAAGGGAAGTGACCATTAGGTTATGGTAAGCATGCCGATGGAAAAATACCCCAATGTCAAACGAGCTGCGCTAGGGATATTGTCAATGTTCGGTTCAACACTCGTCTGCGAATCTTTGTTTTCTACCCTATAAAACGTGAAATCAAATCATGGATCTTTTCTGATTGACATTCATGTGAAAGAACTGCTTCAGTTGGCAACAATGACATATAAGCCAAATTTGAAGAGCATTGTTCGATCTAAGGAAAGCCAGAAGTCCCACTAGGTAGCCTGCATACTAATAAATGACTTGTAAATTTCTAACATAATCATGTTGGTTAGTGACATTTACAATAAGTATATATATATATAGATATTTTTAAGAGATTTATTAGAAAATATTCATTTATTTTACTAGCCTAAAAAATATGGAACTAAAGTGGATTTATCAATAACTTCAGAGCGACAACATTGTGGTAAGCGATGTGATATTTGACGTTCTTCGATTTAAAACTTGTTTAGACATACGTGTTTAATCTTTTCAAATTTACAGAAACCTGAAATGTAAGTTTTTAGATTTGATATAATTAATTAGGACGAATTTTTGTGTTTTCAACTACGGTATGTTGATTTTTTAGGAAATGAAAATGTCGTTCAAGTCAAAAATAATCTCGTTCCGGTGGGTTCGTTTGAAACTTATTCACACCATATTTATTGGATTCGTGAGAACCCCCTTATTTATTTTACCTTATTTTTTCACATGAATAGAACACTTTTAGATACCGGCGTATAAGACAAAATCAACAAGTTCTAAAAATTTACTAAAGAAATTCTTTGAAAGGTATTTTTCTTGATCTAAAACGCATATCGCCAAAACTGTACATTCGGAATTGGGATGTCACATAAGCAGCAGGTTTGATTTTCTGGACGGCTACTATGTTTTGTAAATGCTTGTACCGTTAATGTTATCAAATGTATCGAACTTGAATAATAAATGGTGATAAATAGGCCAACAACTATATAAAATTGTGCTTTGAAGATTCAAACGAAAGGGTTTTCTCCCAATGGTATGTTTTAAAAAAGGCAAGATTAATTACAGAATCTTATTTTTACTATTTTAGTTAAGGAAGATATTGTTGTTTAAAACGGGATTCATTTGGTTGGATTCATCAGTGCCCTCTCAAATCATCGCGTCTTGCAAGCCATATATTGAGTAAATAATGTTTCATACTTGTGCTAAATGAGTATTATTCTGTTTATTGGTATGATTGTGGCAATGCTTTTCTCGTAATA